TCCTCCTGCACCCACAGATGCCAGCTGTTGAGCTCCCACAAGGCCAATAAGATTAAGGTCGGCTTGCTCCAAGTGTTGCAGAAGCCTCCCGCTGGCAGCAGCTTCTGCTGCTTGCATCCCGTTGGTTCCTTTCAGACAGAATAGAATGCGGTGGTCACGCGGCGTCAGTATTTCCTGGTCTGTCTTTTGGGAGTTGTGCTTGTCTGCGGGATGCTGCGAGTGCTCTTTCATTGAGGCACAGTAAGCGAACAAGTCCTTCCAGAAGTGAATGTCGTCTCTTGCCTGGCCCTGGGCCAAGAGTCGGCATGAGTCATCTAAGCGTCTAAATACTCCTTCTTGCAATTCTCTAAGCAGCGCAGAGGTGTCTGGCAGGCTTGAAAGGAGGGTGCGCTGGAGATTCGCCTTGAAGGAGATATTCGGATCGCTTCGATGACTGCGTTCTTGGAGTTTTGAATCTGATTGTTCACTTTGCAGAGGGGACTTGAACTTTTGTCCAGCTGCCACTGCAGGGTTTGCAATTCCTTCTCGGATGTACAGGGCAACTTCTTCCTCGATGACCTGCTGGACGAACAGCTGTTGCTGTTTCTCGTTTGCGTAGTTGATGCAAAGCTGTTCCAACCCATTTTCCAAACCAAATGACTCGAAGCCGTAGATGTCAAGGACTGAACGGCAACACATGGGTCTGGAAAAACCGGAATCTTCAAACTTTTTCCACTGCACGAAACATGCAGCGATGTGGCAGAATGTCTGACTGGAGGTGAGTACAGGGCCAATGCTGAGAGTCTACTGCGCCGTCATTGAACTCACCAACTTTAATGCATTATGATTTGCGGCTGCTAGAGTGCCAAATGTCACATGGACTACTCACTGCCAATTGTCTTGCGGTGCTCGTACCCCTTTTTCGGGTGCTTTTCACTTTCCCCCATGTATCGTGCAGCGCTATCATTAAGCCGCTGTACAATGTAGCCAAATAGTCTGCTGTAAATGAACTTGATTAGCGAGCAACGAACGCTTATGCTTTGCTGTTCGTTCCTACACGTAAAGAGGACATCTTCCTTCAAAAGCATGTGACGACACCTCAGAGATTCCTCGAGCTGATGTACATCTATTCCAAGCAGTGACCCTGCCTTTTTGATCGCCTCTTCTGAGTCCTGGTCCTGCAACTCCAAGAAATCGCCTTTGCGCTTAACAAAAGTAGCATTGGACAGGTGGAGGAGCCCAGCCAGCAATTGCAGCAACTCGTTGATTTCAGAAACCGAAAATTCTGCACGTCTGAAGGCTTCCACCAATAATTTAAAATTTTTCTGCGCACACATGCTTAACAGCATCATAGGCCACAATTGTAGCGCGGAGGGCAAGTTTTGTCAAATATAAGAAGCGGCTATGCTGGACAGAGAAGCGCCTTCCTGTCGCAATTCCATTCATCATTTAGAAGCACGTCGGTAGCCTAGACAGTGCGATGTCATCATACCTGGTCCACTTCTAGAGGAAATTGAGCACTTTCTTGATCGGCATCTCCGTCACTTTGCTGAACTGCGTCGGGTTGAACTTCTCTGGAGAAGAGTTTCTGGAGAAACTTGTCAGAATTTCCAGGCCTCAATATGCGGTAATCATTTGTGTTCTTTGTCAATCCCATGAAGTTGCGTTCTTCGTCGCTCACTCCTGGTTCACGCCACAGGAAGACACAGGAGATAACACTAGGTTTCATTCTTGCTAAGTTGACACATTGGAGAGTTCATCACCAAACAGAGCATGCTGATGCGTTTCTCTTGCGTATTGTTTCAGGAGAACTATACTGCTCCAGGTTTGTTGACATTGACATAGATCGATTGTTGAGTGGTTGGCATACCTCTCAGTAGCTGGTAGAACACGTGAAAGTTTCGGTCGCCCTTCTTGTGCGCCGTAATCCGCGCAGCCTCCAACAAGTACGTCTTCAAACTACCACCTCTCAAGAGACCTCCATTGTCGAAATGCAGAAGTGTGAGTCGCCCAACTCGGCTACTGTTCTGGTTTCTTCTTGTGGCAGCGTTGCCGAAAGACTCAAAGATTGCGTTGCAAGAAACAATTCGATTTCGGAGCTCTGTTGCTTCGTTTTGCGTCTGAACGCCACTTAGAAGTGCAGCAACTTCAGTTCGTTGCTCAGCAACTGTTCTGGGTGCAGAGCAATGGCTGTTAATCCCGACTGCTTTGTCAGGGATAATCCCGCTTGGTTCCTGCGAGGAAGTGGAGACGTGGGTGAGAAAAAGCATAAGCTGCTTGCTTGTTTCGGTTTTTCCGGCTCCGCTTTGCCCCGAAACCACAATAGTTTGACTGGTTTGTGTCCCCACAAGACGACGCAGAGCGTCTTCTGCAACAACGAACGGATGCGGTGGCGGCCTGTTTCGGCTTGCAGTGCTGCGCTTGAAAGCTTGTTCTGCAGCGAGCGCTTTGGCCTGCATCCCGTATGCCTGTGTAGTATGTTCTGCAGACGTGAGGGAGTTTATTGTCCACGGATTGACATTTTTCCTGTCTGCAGGATCACTAGAGGAGCCC